ATTTAATTCAAGCGCTTTCTGGATGTCATAATCCGTCTTCAGGTGTACATATGTATTTGAACTGTTTTTTATTTCTTGAAAAATTATAAGCAGTGGTGGGACTCGAACACACATTCAAGACAATCACCTACACATAAAGTTATTTTGGAGAGGGCATTCAAATAACATATAAAGGATGGACAAGGATTACAGACAAAGCTTAACAGAATATTCTTTTTAAAAAAAACATAACACTTACCAGAAAATGGTTCTTATACACAAAAGCATCTTAAAAAATTACTCAGTTCTACTTTAATTCTGTTTGATTTTGATCTGTCATCTTTTCATAATTCTTTTCCAACAAAAACTGTTTTGTCTAGTTTAAAAATTCCAATAACGTCAAGAGCGATTCCCTTAGAAAATTAGCTGGTAAATTTATATATTGAATAGTATTCAAAAGAATGTTATCTATTAAAAAAAAAATAGAAGTTTTTGAATTGCTCTAACGCAGATAAAAAACAAAACTGAATATAAATCTCACACTCAAAACATGAATATTTACTCAAAACATGAATATTTTAGTGAAAACATTATACACCACATATTAAACATCCTCCAGGTTTCTCAGATCCTTCTGATGGCTGTGCTACTAAAAAGAAGGTTTCTAATTTATTTACACTGGTCACAATGTATTTGATTCATGGAAAAAATATCTGCAATTAGATCTCCAAATTTACGGTCTCACCCGAAGGACCGGTCTCCACGTCGAACCCGCGACGTAAGGATCAGCTCCTTACTTCGCGACTCTAGAGCAGACGCTCTAACCACTGCGCCACTCGAGCGACTTGACCTACTTGTAAGAACTTTATTCAAACTTACCTTGACCATAACGTTTGAATAGTCGTTTATAGCTTTTTCATAATTTCTGTGAAAAGAGCTTTCTTTGGGTACCTTTTTGCCTTGGAGTTTGGCATACTTTTAAAAACTATAACCTTAGCTATGACTTCTGAGGAGTTGGTGATAAAGGTTTTATATTGTACATGTGTACTCCTTGTGAAAAGATATTTCTTTAGGTACCGACATTTTTTACCTTCTGACCTATACCTTGGACGTTTTACCTACTTTTAAAAAATTTTATCCTGTGCCATAACTTCTGAAGAGTTGATGCCAAGGCCTTCATATTTCACCTGTGTATTTGTTGTTACATGTTACCCGACATTATTTACATCTGACCTGGAGTTAGCCTACTTTTGAGAAACTTTGACTTGACTATAACTTCTGACTAATTAAGCTAGTGCTTTCATATTTCACATGTGTATATTCCTTGTAACAAGATCTTTCTTTTTTCAGAACTATTTTGAACTCATAACCTTGACCTTGGAGTTTGACGTACTTTTTAAAGACTCTCAGCTTATTAATGAACTGCAATACAGGGGCATCAGTGTTTCACAAACACATCTTTTTGGGGTTTCTATGGCGATCTGCAGTTAGCCATATCTTTTCATAATTAGAGAAACGATCTTCTGCGTTCCAAGAGGGCTGTACTCTGAAAAAAAATCTTTACGTATTGAAAAAAGTCAAAATATATATGTCTATATGTAGTTATCAAAATAACTTTAAATTAAATACATATAAATACCGTACAAGTGGAATTTCTAGCGTTATTAAAGCAAACACACGAACAAACGTACATTAAAAAGTGCTGAAAGTGAAACTTAAAAAAGGGTAACGACTCAGTTTTATGTGACCTATTGCCATCTGTTTTGTTTTGATTTTTTTTTATTGTCATGCGGATGTGCATCGAGCGAAAATATTTGAACATTTTCAGCTTCTCAACAACCAATTTCACATATATTGAAAATAAATTAACACCTTTTTTGTCGAAATGAAGAAAGCAAAATGTTTTCACGATTTTAATTATATATTAACCTCCACAAAAACTTAAAATTGATGTCTAAATCAGGCATTGGTTTGGCAAAATTGGTCATAGATTAAAATTATTATACAATGCGCAGGATCATCTTTATTGCCGAACATTTATGAGAGCTACATGAACATAATAACATAGAGTTTTCACAAATTTTTGCAACATTTATGTCACAGAAGTCAAAATAGGTTCCACGTAGGTCCTAAGTATACATAGCCGGCGAAATCCATGATACTAGGGTGACCGTAAAGGCATATGGATCTCTTCTTGTATAGCTTCTACAATGTATATTGCTTTGTTTGTTTGTTGTTTAACGTCCCTCTCGAGAATTTTTTACTCAAATGGAGACGCCACCACTTGCCGGTGGAGAGTTGCAAATTTTGACCTATGCTCGGCACGTAAGGCCATTGGGCAATGAGAAATCTTTTTCGTGCAAGCACCTACTGCGACACGGGACCTCGGTTTATACGGTCTCATCCAAAGGACCGGTCTCCACGTCCCACATTGGGATTTGAACCCTCAACGTAAGGAATCAACTCCTTAATTACTCAGCGACTCTAAAGCAGACGCACTATCACTGCGCCACGCGGGCGACCCCTGGCATTGCATTTTAATCACTGTTATGCGTACTAACTTACTTCTTCAAAACAAAGGATTCTAGCATACGTCTTATCGTTATTTTTTGTCCATCCAAATACGCAACACGGACTCGCATGAGGTGCCTTTTTATTAAAATTGCATCATTTCAGATGGGATTTTTGTGTCGCCACTTATATAATTAGGGATTACTTTGCCCGGCGTCCGTCTGTCCACCATATATTTTAATAATGGTTAGAGAAGGGGATGTGATATTTTGCTATGTTTTGCTTGGAACAATGGTTTTTGTAAAATTATAGGGTTACCGACCTCGTGGCCTTTGAACTTAACTTTATTTTTAAAAATACACCATAGTGCCGATATACTACAGCCAGCATATTGTCTTTCAGAGGCAAGTCTGAGCTTTTTAGCATGTACACTGAATGTCGTAAGCAGGCTTCTTCAATCTGAAAAGTTAATCATGGAGGAAGCTGCGCAATAGCAAAATGCAATCGAAAGCACAAATGCCTGTTCGAACTTCTAGGCTTCGTTTAATCAATGATATTTTAAACCGTGGCAACTCCTTAAGTTGAAATAAAAAATCAATACAGAATTCAGAAGTTTATTGTTGGACTTCTACACATAAAGCAAGTTTTATAATTGTTTGTTTTTGTTGTTTAACCTCTCTCTCGAGAATTTTTCGCTCATATGGAGACGCCACCACTTGCCGGTGGAGAGCTGCAAATTTTGATCTATACTCGGCACTCAGGGCCATTGAGCAGTGAGGGATTTTTTTCGTGCCAGTACCTACTGCGACACGGGACCTCGATTTATACGGTCTCATCCAAAAGACCGGTCTCCACGTCCCACAGTGGGATTCGAACCCGCGACATAAGGATCAACATCTTACCCCGCGACTCTAGAGCAGACGCTCTACCACTACGCCACGCGGGCGACACCAAAATGTACGAGAATGAGGTTTTGAAAGAATTACACCGAATCTTTTAGTGTTACATTACATGAAATAACACATCTGTGGAGATATCTACTCATATTGATCATCAGCTGATTAACTCTCAATTGTCACGCAATACACCAATCAACGGCCGTGTTTAGCACATTCTCCCTTTCAAGATGGAAGTGCAAGCCAATTAGTATTAACACAATTAACTTCTCAAACCATAACGGATAAAGTAGGCGTCAATACTGAAATGCAAACTTTAATCATGGCGGCCGCAGAATTTGACCATTGCGCAGCTCGTTTGACCATGACCCACATAATTTAACCATGGCATCCCGCCATGGTAAAACTCCTTGTGGAGAACCCTGCGTAAGACATTGTTGGGAAAACCGAGCTAAAATCCACTTTACCTTTGAATTTCTTATGAAGAATACACCGGTCCGTTAATTTTACGTTTTGTTTTTTAATTTTGAGAGGACTAGCATATATATTACATAATTTAATTTTGACCTCATGACACTTTTATTTCAAATTATTTACCACTCAAAATATAATTGCATTCCATTAAATTCCACTGGGGTTGGTAATTTAAGCAATCGTAATTGTAATTAATCGTAATTAAGAAATTAAAATGTACTGACAATTGCAGTTAAGTCAATGGATGAATTAATATTTCTTTTATAATAATTTCAATTAAATTGTGTCTTTGCGGGTTGAGAAATATTTAATAATTTAATATATTGTCATATTTCTGATAAATGCTATAATATCGCAGTCCTACTATCCAATGATGTTTTCTTAGCAAAAACTGTAAATAATAAGATGTACACATTTAAAAAAAAATTGCACACACTTAAGCTTTATTTATGTTATAGCAGGCGACACATGTGTTCCTTGGAACACTTTAACTAGGTATTTATCTTAACTCTCCTGCGATATCCTAACAAAACACGACAAAAAATAAATGCAATGCTCTATTTCTTTTTAATTAAGTGGTTAATCTTTTAAAAACTTTACACCTATTGTGACATATGGGTCGTATTTACCATGAGGTAAATTAAAAAAATCAAGATAAAATGTTACAAAACTTTCCTGTAATGTACACCACATTTCAAGATATTGAACCCAAATATGGAATGATATATTGGACTAAATCATTGCATAACTTAAAAGGATGCTTGTATTAAAATGCAATCTGTTTTCTGACGATAAATTCGAATTGAAAATTTCTTTGGAAATGACGATTTATGGTTTATTTAACCATGTCGCGTTTAAATACAAAGTGTATGCTAATAGGTCTCTGATGAGACGCATACCGATTGAGACAAGATACTTCATCCGAAAGACAAACATGTCCATTTTTCAAGGTCAACATTGCGCAGTACCTATCAAGACTAAGTTTATACATTCCGCCGTATACCAACTGCGTGGCTTATCATTACATTCAGCCAACTTAGTATATGTAAATCACGTATTATCAAACACGTCTTATACCGGGGTAACGTATTCTGAAATGATTAGACGGCCGAAAATACAACTTCAATTCTTCTTTTAACATTGAATTCTGTTTCGAAATCTATGCAAAATGGAGGAAAACAAATTTCAGATCGCTGACTATGTCATATTTGGAGCGATGCTCCTTGTTTCAGCCGCAATAGGAGTATACTACGCTTGCGCTGGAGGGAAACAACGAACAAATAAAGAATTTCTTATGGCGGATCGCAGCATGAGGTCACTTCCGGTTGCAATATCGGTCCTTGCAAGCTTCTTTTCAGCATCTACACTATTGGGTACCCCTGCAGAAATTTATGAGTATGGAATTCAGTACTGGATATCTGTTTTTGGCGCCATTTTAGCCCCTATGACGGGGGCTTTCTTGTTCGGTCCGATTTTCTTCAATTTGAAAATCGTTAGTGTATACGAGGTGAGCGATAAGAAAAAAAATACACATTTTTCTAAATAGCTTAAAACAGCGTACAACAGAGTAAAAAAAAAATCGCGCTTTTCATTTTTATATGTGTTTATGTTGTAGGTAACGATTGCTTTTATTTTTTCTTGTATGTGTTTTTCAGTATCTTGAACTCAGATTCCATTCCAAATCCGTCCGTTTGTTTGCAGCAGCATTGTTTATTTTACGACTGGTAAGATCTACCTATCTTCCCTAATATATTCAAAATATATTCAAAATGTTTCACCTCGATATTAAAATATATATTGTAGATAATGGGAATGGGTATCGTATTGTATGGACCATCGACAGCACTTGGAGCAGGTATACAATTATGATAACATGCATTTTATTTACTAGTATAGGTTATTCCTACATGTATACACTACAAATTTGATTATTCTCGAAGGGACGTAAAGCAAACAACTACACATAGAACATCTATTTACCTTCATTTCCTAAAGGGTTGTTTCTGATAGTCGGAAATAAATTAGGAAAAGAATCGGCGTTCTATGAAAAACTAAACTGTATAGTAAATGCCTACAAGCAATATTATCAACAGCGAAATCCAGCATTATAAGCATTATCAGCAATACAGCATGTAGTATAAGCATTGAAGCAATCATAATTAATAAGGGACATTTTGCTGTATTTCATATATAATTTTCAAACTAATCCTGATAAATGCATTTTGAAATGAATGCGGGGTGGGGCACTTATTAATATAGTATTCTGCTTAGTTAATTTTCATAAAGATGCTGGTCCCCCGCCCATTTTTGTTGCTTTAAGGTCGATCACTGGCAAATTCCAAGATTTGATAAAAATGTACCAAAAGTAAGAGAAAGCTCCACCCCTCCACTAAAGAGGATTTTCGAGTCGCTCTCTTGCAAACATTCAAAATTTCCTGCAATTTTAGAAAGTAAGATGTTTAAGCAACACGATGACACAGGGGTATGAAACAGGTACTGCGCTTTAAGGTCTCCTCTTAATGTATTCAATGCTTAATGAAGGGATTTTGAACATTTTTGAATCATTTTAAACTATTTAAAAATGCATTGCTAGATAACGATGAAAGTGAAATGATCCAAATTCACATGACTGATAACATATAAGAAACTTGTCATTTTGCACTTTTAAAGTTTTTAAAGAGTTATCTGCCCTTGATTAAAAGAAGAACATTTTAATTTCATCAAAATATCTGTAGTAAATGATTAATTTTATTTCATATTTTAATAATGAGAGAGTGTTTGCATATTTTCACCAAAAGCTTTTTATGAAATTCAAAATACTTTTTACAATATCTTAATAACACATGCATTGCTCATAGACTTCAATGTAAAATTCAAGGTGCAATTAATTTGACAATAATCAAATTTTTTTTTAAATTTCTTTGGTGGAGTGTTTTTATTTCACAACACCATCAAAATGATACCAAAATTACAAATATAGGACCGTTCATTTATTAAATACAAAATATGGTCGTTATACATTGAATACCTTAAAAACGTTGACCTGTTATTGATTGATTGATGCTAATATGCAAAACGGAAATCCCCCCCCCCCCCCGCTCTAAAGTCCTGACAGTGTTACAGAAAGGGAAGTTTTGAACCTACCACATTAATCTGTAGAATCATTTGACTCTTAGTGAAAGCCCATGACAATCTCTAGTATTTTGATAATCGTTGAATAATTTTTAAACAAAATTGAATTGAAAGGAATAAATTTTAGTTCTCATGCTTGTGCATATAAATAATTTCGAATTGTATTGCAGTAACGGGATTTCCGGTGTGGGTGATAATTTTAATAGTAGGCGGAGTTTGTACGTTCTACACAACACTGGTTGGTATATGCATTTCTGTGTTTAACTGATTTTGAAATACTAAAGATACATAGCTTTAAAGTTGGCAATACAAATCAAATTTTAGTACATTGCCAATTACCGATTTGTAGGGAGGGATGAAAGCGGTGATCTGGACCGATGTTTTTCAGACCATTGTCATGTTTGCCGGAATGTTAGCCGTTTTTATTCAGGTTTTAAAATAATTTCACACTGCTGATATGAAACAAATACTTTAATTTTGTTTGCATATTTTTCATTTGGTTCAATGGTTATCACTTTAAAGAAATCGATACAGTTCATAAAGAATTACAACTAATACTATTATTTTTAACTTAATATATTGAATTTGCACATGCAAACTGCTTCTCTTAATGAAGTATTATTTGATTATTTTTGATATTTAATCTAGGGGTGTATTAAAGTTGGTGGCCTTGACGAAATGTGGAATATTAACTACGAAGGTGGAAGAATTAATTTCTTTAAGTAGGATACGTTTCACTTCTTATACATGTACTATGTAGTTAAATTAGTTGCTTTTAAATTTTCTACACTTTATTTTTGTTCCCGTTCACTTCAATGTTGCGATAAAAGGCTTAATCGATATGCAAAGGATAATTTCACCATCAAATAAAAGAATTCCTGTAAAGGAATTCATTAGGATATAGGAATGAATTTCTTCCGTGTTTTATAGCTTTGATCCAGACCCACATGTAAGGCAGACATTTTGGTCGTTGACTGTCGGGATATATTTTGTATGGTTGTATCCTTACACTGTGGATCAACAGATGGTGCAGAGATTCTCCTCCGCTCGCTCTTTGAAGGATGCAAGATTGTAAGGTCCCACAAATTGCCTTTTATTAAATAAACAGAGGCCCAAGGGCCTTAACGGTCACCTAAGTATAAAACAACAATCCACAGAGTATAAAATAAACTGATAGAAGAAGCTTTTGTAAATATTTGATCGTCCATTGTGGCCCCACCATATCCCCAGAGTCATGATTTGAACAAACTTGAATCTAATCTACCTGAGGATGTTTCAATATAAATATAACCAATCATGGCTTTGCTGTTCTTAAGAAAAGATTTTTTTTTCAAGATTTTTCCTTCGTATTCCAATGTAAAACTTTATTGTCCATTGTGGCCCCACCTTACCCCTGGCGATCATGATTTTAACAAACTTGAATCTACACTACCTGAAGATGTTTCCACATAAGTTTCATCTTTCTTGGCCCAGTGGTTCTGGAGAAGAAGATTTTTCCAATGTATTCCCATATAAAACTTTGATCATCCATTGTGGCCCCGCCTTAGCCCTGGGGGTCATGATTTGAACAAACTTGAATCTACACTACTTGAGGATGTTTCCACACAAGTTTTTACTTTCTCGGCCCAGTGGTTCTGGAGAAGAAGATTTTTAAAGATTTTTTCTATGTATTTCTATGTAAAACTTTGATCGTCCATTGTTGCCCCACCCTACCCCTGGGGGTTATGATTTTACCAAACTTGAGTTTACACTACCTGAGGATGTTTCCATATAAGTTTCATCTTACCTAGGCCTAGTCCAGTGCTTCTTGAGAAGAAGATTTTTTTTAAAAGATACCATTAATTTTTCACTTAATTCTTATCTTCTCTTGGAAGAAGGTGTGGCCCTTCATTTGAACAACTTAAATCACCTTAACCCAAGGATACTTTGTGGTAAGTTTGGTGGAAATTGGCCCAGTGGTTCTTGAGAAGAAGTCGAAAATGTGAAAAGCACGACGCACATCCGCACGAAGACGGACGAAAACGGATAGCAATAGGTCACCCAAGTGACTCAGATGACCTAATAATACTAAAAAATTTGACCTACTTTTCAAAAAAAATACATTACTTTTACCTTGGACATAACGTTTGAATGAGAAGAGAAAGAGCTTTTATAGTTCTGTGACAAGACCTTTCTAAATGTACTTTGATTTTTGACCCCTTGACCTTCAACTTATTCTTTTTTAAAAAATGAACATTGGTTACACTGTATAACTTTTAGAAAATAGAGCAATCATATTTGGCCTGTGCATTACCTGTGACAAGACGTTTCCGAGCATGCTATGGCTCCTTACACTTTTGACCCCTTGACCTTAAAGTTTGACCGAATTTTCAAAAATTTCAACATAAGTGATAACCTTTGAATGAGATTACAGGGCATTCATAATTTGACAAATACATTACATGTGACAAGAAGTTTCCGAATGTGCCATTATATATTACCCGGGGTGTAGGTCAAGGTAACCTTGACCGCGGTGAAGGCCAGGGTCACTTTGACCTTCACGTTTGACTAAATTTTCAAAAACATCAGTGCTGCAAACTTTTGAAGGCGAGAAGATTGGGCATTCATATTTGACATGTATATTATCTGTGACAAGACGTTTCGAAATGTACGATGACTTTTCAATCCCGTGACCTTGATCATGAAGTTTGACCTAATTTTAAAAAAATAACATTACTGATAATTTTTGAATAAGAGGAGATAGGGCAGTCATATTTGACGTGTACCTGTTTCAAAACCTTTCCGTGTGTACTCTGGGTTTTGACCTCATGACCTTGACCTTAACGTTTAACTTAGTCTTTTTTTTTTTTCCATTTTTTACATTGGTATTAACTTTTGAATGAGAGAAGAGAGGGCTTTCATATTGTACATGTATATTACCTATTACAACACCTTTCAGAAAGGTGTATCATAATTGATTTCATTAACTTGACCTAGAAGTTTGAAAGACAACAAACAAGACATTACATTATGCCATAAATAATTGCATCCCAACAACTAAGGCACCAAAATGGGGGACCATGATTTTAATTTGCTTTTTCTTCTAGAAATTCAATCGAGCAGCATGTGAAATAACAACACTACCGATTATTTTCAGCGCATTGATTTGTAATGTTCCCGGGATGTTCCTCCTGATAACATTGTGTTCTCTCACTGGATTGGCTCTCTATGCTAACTACGTCACTTGCGATCCATTAAAAAATCATGATGTTGCGAACCCAAATCAGGTATACACATAACAAGAAAATCAACCATAAGTTTTCTTAAATTAGCTATTATCCTATCATCAAATATGTCGAAAATATTGGAAGTACCGTCCTCGTTTTCTTTCCGACCTTTTTTGTCAACATTATTTATGAACAAATCAACAGGGTATATTTACATTACTCAGGGCCTAGGCGAATTTTAGATTGAGTGAAAACATTCTTTCAAAAGTTCAGGCAAAAATTACATAAAACAAAAATTTTCCAATTTTTACTGTGTTTTACGATTTATAAGATCGGCATTCTCGTAACATAGTCATATACATTCAATAAATATGGATTATAACGTTATTCATTATTTAAAAATCAACCTTGCAATCATATATTACCGATCTTTGTTTCACAGAACACTGTCTTTTATAGCTCTTACCGTATTTTGTGATGGAAGTCTTTGAGGATCTGCCTGGATTACCAGGACTATTTGTGGCATGTATGTTCAGCGGTGCACTGAGGTAAATGTTAACTTATATGTTGAGGACTGACCGCAGCCTCAACTTCTAAACTTAGCGATAAAAAAAAAATACTTATCTGTACCTCTTACTTGAACCGATGTTCTGGAATTCTGCCATCGATGCTGACGTTAATGTTTAGCCCTGAAATACATTTTTGTGTCTTTTATTGTGCTAAAATTCATTCGTCAGATTATCAAGAGACATTAACAAGCAATCTACATGGAAGTTTTGCATCAGCAATGCTAGTCACCCATGCATCGGCAGGTGAAGTCTAGTTCCGTTTTAAAATGGAGGCTCCCAATGCAAAGACTGCATGTAAAAAAAAATTGTCAAAAATCATCAGTGTTGAACGATTGCATGTTGCTAAATGCCCCATTAGATAATTTTTCTCTCGCATATAGAGCTTTAACCTACTGAATAGGTGAAGTGCCGTAAATTCTGACCTATGCATGGCATTTATACTCGTAGCAGTGAGAGATCCTTTTCGTACTAACACCTACACGAGGCACGTACGGGGCCTCGATTTTTAAGGTCTCGCAGCATGTAGGGAAAAAAGTACCGAAAACCTAGTGGGACGGGCAGACAAACAGATAGAGAATGGTGGACTATAAGATTTATGCGTGTCTAAATATATACAATGTATCCATATTTTTTTTCATACTACACATGTACATGCAGGGGAAAGAACAAAATCCTTCAGCAAGTATAATTTGCCAAGTCACTTCAAACGCTTAAAGTATCACGAACCGTGTTTAGAAACGTAAAGTGAAAAATGCTCGAGTGAGTTATCTTATTCTTAATGTCATGACTGTTTCCACTGCAGAATCTATATAAAGAGTATTTACATGGTACATGTTCCTGTCGCATTATTGAAATTATCCCAAGGGAGCAAACCTCTACAGATCCTTCATATATATCTATATTCAGATTCCGGACAACAATGGGCCTCGTGTGAAATCTAAAGAACAAGATATTTTCTTAGCATCTTTTGTGAATTACTCAAATCATAAGCTTGCACTGACTGGAAAAATGATAACTGTTTTTGTTTCCTTTCTTTTTTCATACATGATAGGTTGATGTGTTTGTCACTTCAGGAGGAATAATTGACTGTCAAGAGAGATAAATAACGTAAAATTTGATAAAATCAATTTCGTTTATGACATTTCAACAGTGAATTGTCTCAAACCCGTTTCCAAAATTGCTTGCATTTTAGTTATATTTTCAATGATGGAACAACCCCGTTAGGAAAAATACTAGTATTCTTTTAATGAGAATAACACCGTTCTCCATCATTTAACTTTCTCATTTTCTTCAGTTCACGTGTCGAAGATATCATTAACTTTTATGTACTTTTCAGTTCCGTGTCTTCCATGTTGAACTCGTTGGCAGCTGTGACTTGGGAGGATTTCCTTAAGTTGAGATTTGGTCACCTATCGGAAAGCAATGCAACGAAAATTACACGAGCTCTCGGTATGATTGATATATATATATATATATATATATATATATATATATATATATATATATATATATATATATATATGTATTTTTTTTTTTCTTTCTTTTTGAAAGACTCCCCCTCCCCCATATACACACATGAAAGTGATAAAACTAAGTTTTTGTATTTAGAAAATTTAATCGAATATTTTGAAGCATTCTTGTTCGGTCTCCTTGGAATTGGAATGGCGTTTGCTGTCAAAGAGATGGGCGGGACTGTCCTTCAGGTAAATACGGTGTCTTTTACTTGAAATTTTGCTTTTGTGTCCTGTAGATTAGCGATTATAAAGTGATTCCCAGAAGAACAGTAACACCAAATCACTTTAGGTAATATATCAAATGTATTAACAACAACAACGTTATGTATGACCTACAAATATCTGTGAATCGAAATGTGGCCCACACCTCGTGGAGATAAACCGGAAAAGCGCGCGAGCTCTCCCCCTAGGCACCCGAGCCCGATCTCAAAAATTAAATTGAACACCCCCCCCCCAAATACACTACATTCCCCCCATTTTGTGGAGGAATGTCTCAATTCCGATCAGGTGGAGGCCATGTACAATACAAAAATATACAACATAGTTACAACAAGATAGAACTAGTTATCCTCCTGTGATCTACAATTCAGAGTGCTTTACTTATGAACTACATAATAAATCTTCTTATCCTAAACTGTCCAAGCCACGACTAGTATCCTGGATTGCCTTAACCAATTAAATCATATTAAAGAAATTTTAGCTCTCCTGGGGTATCTGCTCCAAGCGCATGTCCATATAGGTCCTACCTGGACTCTGGAATAAACCAACACAAGCCTCTCTAGTTCTTTTATCTCATAGGAAACCCCGCTCACTCAGGGGAACGGAGTATCCCGCAGCTGTTGGCCGAACAGGATGCGGAAATTCCTCATGACCTGCTCGGCCAACGCGCGGAAATCTACCTGGCGGACCTCCGCCACCCGACGATAAACCACCCCGATTTGGCCAGGGGTCATCTCCCCCTGACCAACTCCAAGGTGGGGGCTGTCCGTCTCGATGAGTATTCGGTCAGTGGGGATCCGCCTCACGCCCTGGAGTTGCTCCAGAGAGAAATGCAGGATCAACCCACTGACCCCGAAGAACACAATGCGTCCTGTGGCTAACCACTCATCCACCTGGGAGGCCCCCCCCAGTGAATGAATGCAGGTACAATGGCACCCACAGGGGAGTGCGGGCCTGATCCAGCAGATGCAGGCAATCGAGAAGCGGCTCCTGACCCACTACTAGATTGACCCCTATGATATACCTGTCCTGGAGCAGAACATGAGTGGCTCTGGGTCCCAAGGGAGTCTATACCTGCAGGTGTATACGCTCCTTGATGAATAGGAACACCAGACCCGATGGGGTTTGTCACATTCGGATTACTATACAGGGGCTCCCCCCAGGGTACTACCCCCTTACTACTTCGCCACAGTGTTCCTCCACTATGCATCTCTGAGGAATTCTTAACCCCATTCCCCGGACTTGCATCCTGCCTGGGAGACACTACCCCTGGAGTATTCCCATACCCACTTGATGCATGAGCACTAGATCGACCTCCCTTAGTCCCTTGTTCTGGCTTGGATTGACCTCCCTGTAACAAGGCTGCATGGCTATTAGTAGAAGTAACTTGAGTGTCGCTCGGGATACTAGTCACATACCTGGGGAATCCTGACCCGAGGTCCTCTACGGGACTACTCGAGGGGTTTGTATTGGGCCTGCTCACTGTACTGTTACAGCTTTCCTCCCTGGAACTATATTCCTGGGAGTGGCTACCATCTGAAAACCCTGACTTCCCTACAAATATCTGAGTCAATTGGGTTAACTGGGTCTGTACTTCCTTTAACCAGGTCACAACCTGATCATTGCTCGGCACAGGCCCAGAGCCCTGATGTGGTTCACCCCCCGTGGCCCCCCTTTCAGGAGTTGTATTTATTATTGGCCTTTCCCTACCCCCTGGGGTGAGGGACATATCGACTTCCCCAACTACAGTGCTGTCCTCACTCCCCCTAATTCCCGGGGTACTAAATACTGGTGGTCTAAATGGGGTTACTAAACAAAAAAGCTGATCCACCCTGTCAGGCTGAGAGTCCCCCCATGCATTAGCATCCTGCCCCTGGGCCCCTTCCAGACCGGCCGGTCTTGTTCCTCTGCCCCCCAGGGCACCTATGCCACTCATGAGCCCGGGACTCCCCCTACCCCGACCAAAGGACCAATGCTGTTCACTCATACTTCTTTTTTTTCTTTTTTGTGTCTCTAACGAGCCGCCTTAAACAAATCAACTGTACTTGTACGAGCCTAGCACAATACCAGATCAACAGGAAAACCAATAAATGGAAATCAGATAAATAACCTTACATATATTTAATCCCAAAATTAACACAAATTACCTTATCAACTACTTATTGGATTCTCCAAAAAATTAAAATCAAAATTAATAGCAAGTGGCCAAACCGCGCGGTGTCCCCTATGCACCGCTTCGGTCTAAACTGACCGCCGGAAATCCTACCGGCGACGCCAATAAAGTGATTCCCAGAAGAACAGTAACACCAAATCACTTTAGGTAATATATCAAATGTATTAACAACAACAACGTTATGTATGACTTACAAATATCTGTGAATCGAAATGTGGCCCACACCTCGTGGAGATAAACCGGAAAAGCGCGCGAGCTCTCCCCCTAGGCACCCGAGCCCGATCTCAAAAATTAAATTGAACACCCCCCCAAATACACTACAATTATATGATTTGCATGAATTTCAGTCGTCATCCATATTTAGCATACTGCTGGTTATCTAACATCTCTGTGTTCACCCACGTACGAGCTGTAAAATTTAAATGGAAAATATCGATTTAATACATTGCATTGCTTTTTGTATTCATATACAAATAGTTTTAATTTTCTTTATTTGTAACCAGAACTATTTTTACATGAATTATTAAATCGACGCTAAAAATATATATTAAACAGAACAAAATCCGACTATATATTTTCCACTAATGAAGAAAGCATTTACTTATTGTTTGCTGTTATCCCATGACAAATGAGTTTTCTTTCTGTAGGCATCTTTGACGTTTAATGGTTCCGCCGGAGCACCACTTGTCGGGGTTTTCATTCTCGGTGCATGCTTCACAAGCTCCAATTGGATTGTAAGTCTCTGTGTTTTGAGGACAAATATTCCTGATAAGCGAAATAACTCGGAAAATCACTATGCTTTTAAGATTTGACGGAAATGTCTTACCTTTCAGAAAATTATCACAATTAAAAATCTTATTTTAGCTACAAAAGGGTTGATTTCCCATAGAAAAAAAGTTTTGTTAAATTCCATTAAAAGTTAATTCTTTTTTAAATAAAAAAAAAAACTTTTTCCAATTAAATGAACGAAAGGCTTCGTACTCAAAGTAGGTACAGGAAGATACAGTCTTGGGGACAAATATTCATAGTAACAGCGAGGTGAAGTTTTAGTTGATATTATCATTAATAAAATGCATAAGAAGGATGTTACTCGACTTTAACTGTGCACTATCGACACGTATACTGTAGTACTTACTTATATTCATCAAGATTTTGTAAGCAGTTGGAATATCCCTTCGATTTGTTAACAAAGTACTTCTAAACAAACGGGGGACCATTATAATTATATTGTGATATTTTCTAGAGGTTGCCTGGGTGTTTGGTAAAAAACACAACATATTGTTTGATTTAAATTCTGAAATATTCTTTAAAACTAGAATAGGCATACCGTAGAAGCAGAAATACCAGTTAATTAATAATACTTATTTTTTCAGAATTGATTTTAACTTTGAATTTACTATATGGTCAAATAGTTGCCATTTTTTTGTTGTATTCGCGGGCACAAAGACTGTATGAATTTTATTCTTGTGCAGCAAATTTATAATTTTCCTTGTGTGTCTTGAAAACATTGCCTTGTTTCTGCTCTTGCCTCTGATTTCTTTTCTGATCTTGTCAACGTACGGAATCGAAACAGCTTTTGCGTACTCGATCATCGTTTCCGAGGTAGACCAATGATTTGAGAATTTTCACATTCCAGTCTTTCGGAAATTTGTACGTAGGGTGACATCGGTCTGTAAGCCCCTTATAGATGAGTTGAAATGGAAGTTAAGAGCCCGTTGGTGAAATTCCAATTATACCGGTTATTTTCATTTTTTTTTTTTTGGTCATCCAGGGCCATTATACTACAATTTTTGATCCCTTTTCTTCTAGAATTCATTCACTGGTTGCTACCATTTTTAGGCCGGTCTGATCAAAATTATTATTAGTTCATGTGGAATGTCATTTTCCTTCACACATTAAGATATTTTTTGCAGAAATTAACATTTTTAATTGCACAAATCCTTCCGGAAGTTTTCTTGTCGTTTTCATTCCCTTTCTTTTTACGAGATTCATTGGTCGCATGAGGGAGCATGCATAATCACGGGTTATAGAAAGGTTTCCACGATTTTCTGACAATAATGTACGATTATGAACATTTTCACTTGTTCGTCTGATTTTTCACCAAACAATGAGGTCTTCCTCGATTTTTGATTGACAACTCTTTTATTTGCTCGGTAATTCGTTACTCTAAGTTAAGGTTTACTTTTTTCGAATGTCATTTCTAATACTACGGATATTTGTTTCAGAAATGCGCTTCTCCATGTCAGTAGAAATTTTTCTTGCAGCTTTTGGTACGCCTATTTCTTCGGCAGTTTTACAAATTTAGCCCTTTGTTCGGATGTGTAAGAGCTATATTCCACTCTCTTTTCCCAAGCCTAGAAGGTGATGACTGGCGAATCATTTAAAGTTTCAATAGTATCGATTGCCGCACTAACTGCAATTGCATCCGTTTCCGAAGTAACCAGATTTGGGGAGGGTAAACCAGGAGAGGAAGGCTCGCGTATTTTTGAATTCATAAACCATTTCAGTGGCGACATGCATGACCGCTAAAGGAATACTGAACACAGCAACAAACAATGGATAATACGGGTAATACATTGAATATAAAATACCACAGGCATACAAAATAATATCCCGGAATTTTTTTTATACTGCATGTCTTTTGAAATTAGAGTTATCAAAGTACATACAAAAAAAAAAATAATAGTCGCCCCCGTGGCGCAGTGGTTAGAGCGTCTGCTATAGAGTCGCGAAGTAAGGAGTTGATCCTTACGTCGCGGGTTCGATCCCACTGTGGGACGTGGAGACCGGTCCTTCGGATGAGACCATATAAATCGAGGTCCCGTGTCGCAGTATGTGCTGGCACGATAAAGATCCCTCACTGCTCAATGGCCGTAAGTGCCGAGCATAGGACAAAATTTGCCGCTGTCCACCGGCAAGTGGTGGCGTCTCCATATGAGTGAAAAATTCTCGAGAGGGACGTTAAACAAAATACTATCAAACAAAAAATAATGGTATTTATATTTTGTGACAACCACGAAAATAAGTCCCCACGAAATCGTTTTGAGACATGCATGGAATTTTACCCCCCACGAATATTTCTGCTTCTACAGTATGTATGTGGATAAAATAATTTGCATTCCTATATATTTTTCTATGTCGAGAACACGAGTACGGAGTATATGTACAAGCACCGTATCCCATATAGATTTTTATATCCCGCTTGAAAAAATCCTACTTTACAATTTGATCGAAAAGATATTTGGGGTTTCTCAAAGCAAAACATGAACACTGTCATTCTCTGGATTACACTGAGGTGCCCAACTGTTAGACCATTATTCACACACTGAATTGTCCGTTATTTCCCGACATGACAAGGAGCATTCGGCGGGTGTGACCGGTCGGCAGGGGATGCTCACTCCTCCATGGCACCTGATCCACCTTGATGTTTTTGGAGGTCCGTGTTTGCTCTGCTCCCGATTTGTATTGCTTTAATGGACTTTGAGCTTGATTACTGTTCGTTATCTCCACATATCATTTCACAGAGTCTTTATTACATTAGTGCCATTGTGCACCTCCGTTTACTCCTTTCGATCGAAGAGACATTCGGGGTTTTCCATGGCAAAACCTGGACGCTGACATTTTTTCTATGATATTGGTGATTACCCACTTCTTATGTGTAACTCCTCCTATACCACTGAATGAAGTTTTATGAAACTTTCGCAGAATCTTTAATTGTGCACCTTGTATTATATTTCGATCGTAGAATAATTCTGGGGTTTCCTATAGCCAAAATTGGACTTTGTCATTCTACTCGTATGGGAGCCCGGGGGGGGGGGTATCATTTTGTGTGTTTAGTGTCCACAGTACCTCTAGTTTTACTTTCGTTCTACAGTGTTGATTAAAAGATCAATGCGTACGACAGTTTGATTCTGAAGGGACTTCCAGATTTTGGAAATAAATAATCTGTCCTCGAAAGTGTTGAAAATAAATTATCCGTCCTCAACTGGGATAAAGATCAATTTGCCATCCCCTCCCAAAATCAAATGGTCGTCACGGTCCTTAATTGTTGGACCAGAAGATCTCTTCTTTGAACATTTACATAGATGGAGGCGTCCGATTATTATCCAAACAATCATATTTATGTTAAAAAATACGAATAAAATAAAAAAAGGAGACTAAAGGATTTTCATTTTACTATTTCGATAAACAGGGTGCGCTGGTTGGAGGATTACTTGGTTTCGCTTTCCCTATGTGGGGTGGAATCGGAAAATACGTCTCGCCACCACAGAACTTCAAGCTTCCTACATCCACTCTGGGCTGCAACTCTAACGATACTAGTGTTCATGATGTCATAATGTCAAGTGACTATCTGACAAACGAAACACACCCCACCTTGTAAGAAAAGTTTCATATTCTATATCTACAACAGAATGAAAAAATGTTTTTTTGACAGTCAAGAAAAAAATCTGATGATATATTTTTAAGCAGGTAAAGATATAAAATAATGAATTTTAGAGAAGGACTTGACCAGTTATATGGTATCTCCTACTTGTGGTTTAGTGCCCTAGGTGTTCTGATAACTGTTTGTGTTGGCTTAATAGTGAGCTGGTTTACAAAAGGTTAGAGATGTTTCTTATAATACAGAAAACATATTTTTTCTACTTTATGCACATTAAAAAAAAACACAATAATATTTAAAGATAAATTTTAACGAGGAATGTAATGGTGAAGAATATTGCAGGCCAAACCGACAAAACCGGGAAGGTACCAGATCACCTTAAGCTGAAAATGTGGGAGAATCTTTGTATGTGCCTATGTTTTCCTCCAGGTATTATTGAAAAGGAACAAAAGAAAGAGCAGGTAATGATGGAAAATAAATTATGACAAAATATCTATAAAATTATTTAGAAAAGTTTATACACAGCACACTAAAACGTTCTGATTCAAAGGTATTCTTATGTAGGTGGAGTAATAAGCCATTAGAACAAATGAAAAGAAATATTAATCGACAGTTTATCAATCAATTTCTAATGTAGGTAGAGTAATCAGCCATACGAACAAATTAAAAGAAATAGAAATCTACAGTTTCTCAATCAATTTCTTATCAATTCAAGCATTTTTGATAGGCCAAGATGCTAAGACGTTTATTAAATACTTTATTTGTATGCTTTTTCCCTATTTGTGTAAATCACAGTGACTGATTTCTTCATCAATACTTTATTGTCTTTGAACATTTTTCCTGAGGGTAAAAGCCAGACACCCTTTTTGAAAATGATATAAATAAGCTCAATATTTATACCTTTATACAATTTAATTTTCTCAATGTCCAGAAAACATTTTGGTTTACTGTAGAGAGGTATCTTAATTTGGATAACAGAAGATTTTCCAGTATGACCCTTATTAAACTTGTGCAATATGACATTTGTGTATTTAGGTGAACGTTTTCTTCGACGTTGTAAATAAAAGTGATGTATAGCGTCACTTTAGAAGCGTTGGTTATAATTTCTTTTTAGTGTAATAGTTTGACCATTAAAAAATGGTAGTCTTGTGTTCCTTAGAGCATCATTGTGTCTTTTCGGCGAAGGGCGTCATTTCAACTTACACTTTGAATTTTTAGGTCACTCGGGTGACTTTTTGTTTCTTCGTTTCATCTGTCGGCGTCCATAGTGCGTTAACATTTAAACATCTCTGGAACCGCTGAACCAATCTCGAACAATACTATGGGCAAAGGGGAACAAAAATTGTGAACTACAAGGTTTCTGTCCGCAGAGGCCTGTTAAGTAGGACCAAAACCATAAAAATTAATGCAATCTTCAATCTTTGGTGTTAGGATGGGGCCCTATTATAGATCATATAGTTAAAATGCATAAATTCTTTTTTTTTTAAACTTCGCCTCTGCACCTTGGTATTAAGCAGACAAACTAAGTGCTATTAGAGACTTCTATTTTTTTCAGTTACGAGAACAGCTCAAGAACGTTCCGCCAATATTATACAGTCACCGTGAGAAAAGGTCCAGTGTTTTGTATTTGCAGCCTCCTGACGCCACCATAGAAGTAACAATTAACCACAATGACTCTAAAACGACATCCGATTCCAAAGATCTTGTATAAAACAATGCAAAATTCGCATCGAAAGCTAAAACGGATAAAAGTGTATCATTTGTGGATTCTTCAAATGTAAAAGAGATATTGCAAAGTATCAAACAATAAAAATTACATGTTTTTATATTATCCACAAAGCGTAAATGGTGTTTTAGAGATATGTAATGTTGCCTAAAAATAAATTATTTATATGTTGAATTGGTTCCAACTACTTCTATATTTATAAACGAATTCTGTAATATGTAAAATACTTTAACCGAAATGGTTAGTATATAAAAATTTACGATTTGTTGTATGCTTTCTATATAAACCTTTATGGAATCTGCTGCCATTATAGCTCCACTATGGCAGATATGTAAAAGAGCAGAATGAACACAATTTCTCTATAAGATATGTACAAATTACTTATAAAAGAATCTTTTAAATGTGAAGTACTAAAACATTTCAGTACTACCGGTAAATGGCGTCATTTTATGCATGGAAGCACTGTTCGAATAAAGTGTCATCCAAAGAACGTTGCATGGTGTCAGAAACGGGGATAAAAATATTTTAAACACTTAAGATATAAAGAAGACCGGAAAGATGAGACACAAAGAAATTTGAAAATTGGAAATGCTCGAATTCCTCCTCCATCGATAGATTGGAGCACCACAGAAAAAAAAACCTTAAGAAGAAAAAATTAAATATCTTACCTGCTCCTTTGGATTGGGGAGTTTGGGCGAGACGTGTATAATACACCAACGGGGGATGATGATAAAAGCTACGGACCTATTCAAAGCGTACGTACAATCCAACTCAACCCCATATTTGCACACTATAAATATAATAACCAAGTGCAAGGTAATTGAATTTCGACCAATTTAATTCTCGGATGAAGACTGCAGGTTCACCAGTAAGGATGGGATGATTGTGGACAGAATTGACTTTGATGTGTTTTCTGGGAATGTAAGAAAAAAACTGATTCATGTTAAGAGAAAGATTTCCAATAAGTTCTTGATTAAGCGGTAGAGATAGCATAAGCTTAAGAATATTCACAGGGCAACTCAAGCATAATTATAGCAGCTGTGTCTAGAAAACAAGTCAAGGCAATCAGTCAAGGTCAAGGGGTTAAAAATCAGCATTTGGAAAGATCTTGCCACAGGATATTCACATGGCAAATATGAATGCCCTATTTTCTCAGCTTCTACTTGAAAGAGCCCTCGAATGCTTAAGTCGGCCTGAGCAAGATAAAGACAACTCAGATGGATGATATATGTTTCTGATATATACGTCGGACGCACTCTGATGACAATGCCAAAATAACATTCATAAATGCAATTAATGCATTCTGAAAAACAAAATTCAAAACTTTATCTGCGAAATCCAGGTTACTATTTAATAGCAAAATCAGCAACAGTTCCCTCCTCCGTCTCAAAATTCATGTACTAGTAATTATAATATTCAAACCACAGCATATGAAGACGGTAGCTGCAGACAGCTCACAAACTATAAGTTAAATTATGATCGATTTTCGATGTTTAATAAATAAAATTAATAATTTCAAAACTATCAGTAAAATATATTGTAAGCTCTCCGGGAATGGCCAAGCTTAAGTTGGGGACGCTACAAAATAATAACTATGAGTACTCCTGTACTAAAATCCTTGGTCCCTTGATAATAGGGAAAACATAAGATTTACGTTGGTCTCAATAATATTTATTAATCATAATGCAATTTTCATTTAAACAGGTACAATTGATATTGGTTGGTGGCGTCTACCGAACAGGTTACTATTATAAAGGGGGGGATGTACAATGGCTTTAGTAGGATGATCTCCAGGGTTAATATTACGATTAAATAGGTGTCCAGTGTGTTGGGAGATAATTGTCGAACATTTCCTCACCTGGAATCACAATAGTATGGCTATATAAAGTTATGGTGAAAATATGGGCGGATCTTGGAACTTTACTTTGAATTTACGCTCCTGACAACTCGGCAAATTATCTGTTGACATAATGCGATCGCCCCCAATATATAACCTTCGGAAAAGGGTCATATGACAAGATTCAACCAATGCAAATGCTGTACGACGCCGTTCCATCAATCACGACAATGTACGACATCGTACAAAATAAAAATCGTGTCGTACTGTCAAAGTTTTCGTACAATATGGATTATAAACAAACCCAGGAATTAAGATGTGAAAAGACAAAATAACCAATCAAAATGGATAACAAAAGATGTGTCTATAATAAGTAAGTAAACAATTTATATCTGATACTTGTAAATTTCGCAGAAGTAAACTTGCTGAGTATGCAGGCGATATCGCGGATGGATAAAAATATAGTACAAGATTTAGACACATGTAATCGGGAATATTAGAAATCACAATAATAATTAACATAATTAATAGCAAGTAACTATGCCTGTGATGTAACATGAATAATATGAGGTTAAATACGAAAATAACCTACTTAACATGCACCGATAAAGATGGCAGACAGGATATAAACAAGTTGCATGGCAGCAGATGATTTAAAGTGTTGCAGCTAATCTACACATGTAGATAATGACAGTTAACTCAAGAAATACATGAAGATTTAAGATGAAGGGTAACTAATTCATGGTAAGTAAAAATAAATGCAAACTTTAACATTCCTGACCAATTTTGGCACAACGTTTTGACACACATGAAATAATATTACAAGTTAAGTCCACCCGCTCTACTATTATTACACAGTAAACCATAGTGAAATTTTAGACATCTGACAGGTCCTTACATTTCCCCCTCCTAGTTACTTAATTCTCCTTAATTTATTAAAAGATTTAGAAATCATTACGTAGGTTAATAACAATACAGCAATATTTGTATACATCATCAGTTCATAATAATGTCATTTCACTATCACTCTGTCAGACGGAGAGGATCCTGGCTTCATCAATCATGAATTCGAAGATAACCTTATCCCACAGCTTGTCCCGTTGAGCACTGCCAGCCTCCAGAAAAGAAACCATGGCTTCATCATGCTGGGTGCGACTCTTTCCCATGGCTATAGATTGCAAAGCTTGGTAAAGGTGCACACGGCACTTCGATGCAGAATTGGAAGTCTTCTTTGGAGAGAGGACACCTGTTCCTGGCAGCGCAAGAAAGTTAAATTCATCAGTGAGGAAACTCCGATCAACTCCTCTGTCACTCCCTGGAATGCTCCGCCGCAGGGACTTGGCAGCAAATTCTAGCTCAAGGAGCTTCTGGTGAGGTGTGAGATGGCTAAAATTCTTTGGTGGCCAGGAAAAAGAGACACTTGCACTGGATATTGTTACAGCCTCTTCAAACTCCCATTGACGTCTGGCTGGAGGAAGGACTGGCATACATCCAGTGGAAAGAAGCTTCTTGGCTCGGACTGCCAGTTGTCCAAGAGAAGGATCCTCAGGGCATGGAGAAAGAGCAGGTACTGGAACAGCAGCATCACGCTCATGAGGAATGGTGACCTGGGTCTCCATGGGGACAGAGGCGGACATCTCCAGGGAGGCGGAGACAGACGATGCAGGAGCAAGGGAAGAAACTGGAGGGGAGTACAAGATGGACTGTGGCCTGGTAGCCTGGTATTCTTCTAATCTGATTCGCTTCTTTTGGGGTTCCTTGGTGTTAGCAGGGGTGGGAGTTTGGTGACTACAGCGCGGGATGGGGATGGCAGGGATTCAATGTCAAACACAGCAAATAATTCTATTTCCGGTTCTGTACTTTGGCGTTTCATTTATTTTGTGATTGATTTGATGTATTTTTGGTCGATGCCCAAAGATGTAGCGAAATGATTTGCTCGTTCTTTTTGTAGATCTAATAGTTTGAAGTTTGCCAAAGGTGGAATAACAGGATCAGATTTCAACACTGCCATTTTCCTGGAAAGGCTGGCAATCCCCCTGAGTTCTAGGAGCACCCCATCCTCCAGCCTAACACTATAGAAATTCACTTCATCCTCCAGCACTGCTGTCAAGGCCTTAGGTACCAAGGAGATAGAGATAATACTGACCAGACCAGGAGAGTCAGGGTTATACTCTTTGCAAGACAACACAGATGAGAAGTTCATGGCCTGGGACTCCCAACCTTCCAACCACTCTTGCCTGGAACACCTCGGATTGAAGAACACCTTCCTTGTCCAGTCGAGGAGGAGGGCTCTCAACTTCCCAGAGGCTCTGGCATTGGCTCGACCAGCGATCTATACAAGGAGGGTTGGCAGGCAATCCAAAAGCAGTTATTCTCAGAGAAAAGATCGTCCTCAGGGACATTAACAGATGGTAGGGACTCTGTGGCGTTTCAGGACTTGGTTTTTCAGGTCAGCGGGCCGACTGAAAGTATTTTCCTTCAAAATACAAAAAGGGCACACTACTTTCATGGCACATTGTGGTGCTGGCATCAAAGGCTCCTTGAGTTTCCTTCGGCTATCGAACTGAAGATTGCAGGGCTTCCTGTTATTCTCTGGATTGCACTGGAACATTCTGTGGAAGGAAATATAATATTTTTTCTAATGAAGGCGTTTAACCTCTAGGTTATTATGGAATTGTAATACAATATCAAAGTAGCACCATGGCAGCTATAGGACTACTCAGGATGGGCTAAATTTAGGAATTCACAGATGGAAATGGCAATGTGAATTTTCTATGGGTAAGGAGGGCATACATGCTACGGCTTGGGCAAGGGGCTAAGATATATAAATTCATCCAGGTGGGAGAAATAATGGGCTATAGGACTTGCTAATACCTCCGACAATGATGATGTAGTATAACCAAATTATCATTGAAGTAACATCAAATATATGGTACCAAGAGAGACCAACACCAATGACAAAAAAAGTCAATAATAATAATAATAATACAGCAGCAAAAAAGTCAATAATAATAATAATACAGCAACAACACACAACTCCTAAATTATTGTCTTCACAAAGGCAATGATCATACCTTGAGATGCAGGGCCCTTTACATCCAGATGTCAACCCAGTGAGGACCATAGGCTGCACGCATCCGTCGTCTCCCGTTACCACTTGGGCAACGGCCATAGAGTGCACAGCTCCGTCCCCTCCCAATACCCAATGGTGCGGGTCACCTCCCTTCACTGGCCTCAAGGATTATTTAAAAAATAGTACAAAAAAAATTCATGTCATACAGTCTTTAAATTTAATAAGAACTCTGATGTGCTATTCCCTATTCCGTTTTTGGTACCATCTTGGAGGGTTTCTGCCACGGTAGGCAAGTAATCGGTC